CCCCCCCCCCCCCTTATTTCCACCCCCCTTTCCCCTTCACCTCCTTTCCTTTTTCCCCCTCCTTTCTTCTCCTCCCCTTCCTGAAAGGAAATTTCTGCTGCTCCTGTGCATTTTTCTGAGGGAACAACATCCTTCCTATTTTTGCTTTTCTGAGAGAAATGTGGTTTTCCTGGGTGTTTTTCCGAGGGAAAAGGAGATTTCACTTCTATTTTTTTTTTTTTTTGTTTTGTTTTGAGGGAACGAGAAATTCTGATTGTATTTTTGTACGAGGAAAAATGCAAGTCCATGTTCTTTTGTGTGCATTTTTTTTTCCCTGAAAAAAAAGAAATTTCACCTTTTTCCATATGGAAGGGAAAAGAAAACTTTATTATCTATCTATTTATCTATTTTGCTTTTCTTGAGGAAGAAAGAAGTTTCTGGTGTTCCTAGAGAAGGGCCAATCTCTGCTCTTTTCTGTTTCCCCCTTCAAGGAAGAAGGAAGTTTCTTTGTTGTTTTTGTGATGAAAAAATGAAAATTCTACTTTTTTCCTCCCTAAGGAACAAGAACGTTTCTCTTTATTCTGAGGCAAAGCCTGCAGAACCCTCCAATGTCGCTGAGGAAGAGGGAAGTGTTATTCAGAGTCAACTCTTTGAAAGGGTAGATAATAGCAAGACAAGGGGAAATGGTTTGAAGTTGAGGGAGGGAAGATTTAGGTTGGATGTCAGGGGGAAGTTCTTTGCTCTGAGAGTGGTGAGGTGCTGGAACAGCAGCCCAGAGAGGCTGTGATGCCCCATCCATCCCTGGAGGTGTTGGAGGCCAGGTTGGATGGGGCCCTGGGCAGCCTGGGCTGTGAAATGTGGAGGTTGGTGGCCCTGCCTGCGGTGGAGGGGTTGGAGCTTTGTGATCCTTGAGGTCCCTTCCAATCCAGGCCATTCTATGATTCTCCTGAGAGGAGAGAAACGTCCACTTCAGAACAGCCGTAACTCTGCCTTTCCCCTCTTCTTTTTCCAGGCACAGAATATGGCAGAGTGGCCAAGGCTGCTGACTTTGGCCCGCCAAGGAAAGTTGAATCTTTTGGAGGCTGCACTGAGGGATGGAGCTGCCACCAACCTACGCTGTGACCGCTCTGGGGACACACTGCTGCACGTGGCTGCTCGCCACGGCCACCTCCACCTTCTGGTTCTGCTGCTGGAGACACTGGGCATGGACGTGGAGGTTGCCAATGGGGACTACAAGAGACCCCTCCACGAAGCAGCTTCCATGGGGCACAGGGAGTGTGTCTCCTACCTCCTGGCCAAGGGAGCCAGTGTGGATTGTCTGAAAAGGGCTGATTGGTAGGTGGCCTTTATCCAAACCCTTCTGAGAGCAAAAAAAGCAGAGATGGGGAAGGTTTTGGAGGACAAAATGTGTGAGGAGCACCTGAGGATAATTCAGCAAGACCAAGTGCCATGTCCTGCACTTTGGCCACAACAACCCCAGGCAATGCTACGGGCTTGGGGCAGAGTGGCTGGAAGACTGTGTAGAGGAAATGGACTGGGGGTATTGATCAACCTTGAGTACTGTGTTCAGTTTTGGGCCCCTTAATACAAGAAGGATATTGAGGCCTTGAAACATGTCCAGAAAAGGGCAACAAACCTGTGAGGGATCTGGAGCACAAGTCTTATGGGGAGCAGCTGAGGGAGCTGGGATTGTTCAATCTAGAGAAGAGGAAGCTCAGGGGTGACCTTATTACTTTGTGCAACTCCCTGAAGGGAGGTTGTGGAAAGATGGGGGTTGGCCTCTTCTCCCTTGGAACTAGCGATAGGATGAAATGGAATGGCCTCAGGTTGTGCCAGGGGAGATTGAGCTTGGACATTAGGAAATAATAATTCTCCAAAAGAGTGGTCAGGCACTGGAACACGCTGCCCAGAGAGGTGGTGAAGCCCTAAACCTGGAGGTGTTCAAGAAATGTTTAGATGTTGTACTGAGGGACATTGTTTAATGGGGAAATATTGGTGGTTGGACTGGATGATCTTGGAGGTCTTTTCCAACCTTGGTGATTCTATGGTTTGTTCAACCCAAAGAGGAGACTAGGGGGAGAACTCATGGCAGCCCACATAGAATTATTAAGGTTGGAAAAGACCTCTAAGATCACCAAGTCCAAGCCATCCTCACCATGCCCACTAATCATGTCCCTCAGTGTTGCAGCTTCACATTCCTTGAACACATGAGGGATTTTGACTCCATCACCTCCCTGGGCAGCCACTTCTAACACCACTCTTTTTGTGAAGAATTTTTTTCCTAATATCCAACACAAATTCTGTTCCTGGGAAGCATTTGGACAATGCTCTCAGTCATGGGGTTTGAATTTTGGGTGGTGCCGTGTGGAGCCAGCAGTTGGATCCACAGTGATCATAGAATGGCCTGGGCTGAAAAGGACCATAATGATCATCTAGTTTCAACCACCCTGCTATGTGCAGGGTTGACAACCAGTCCTTATGGGTCCCTTCCAGCTTGGGATGTTCTGTGATTCTACAAATCTGAGGGCAGGAGCCAAATTTAATTCCAGCTCTCTCACTGTTCTCCCCCTGTTTATCATGGAGGTTATAAGTTAGTACTTTGTTAGCAGATCCAATTTAAAAGCTTTGATCTCCTTCAGGTGGTTTCACTCCGTTGTGTGATAGGACTCAGTGTATCTCTTTCCTCTGGAACTGAAATAAGAAGCCAGAAACATTTAAAAAAAAAAAAAAGAAAAGAAAAGAAAGAGAACAACTTTGCTCCTGTTTCCTTCTAGCAAACAGAGACTTTTGGGTAATATTTGCTACTGATAAAATAACAGCATCACGACCCAAGAAAGAGCTAGTTTCTTCAGGGCTTTTATTTTTTTGCCTGCTTTGTAGGAAGCATATCATCAAATGGTGAGTGAATGAGCACTGGGGGTAGAAAACAAGGTCTATTCCACACGTGTGCAGCAGGCCTGGTTCAAATAGAGTGCTGCATACCTGTCAAGCTCTGCTCCTGGGGAAGGAATTCCTTCTAGCACCTTGCAGGAGAAAGCAGAGATTCCCCCTGGCATGAATGAAAGGTGAGCGATGCCTTTTTGAAGCTGCAGTAACACAAAAGCAAAGGCAGCTTCCCAGTCCTCCTAATTGGAGGCTGTGCCAGCACCAAGCTGACATCAGGGGGAGCAGAGGAAGGCAGGGATCTCAGAACTGTGTGCAAGCCTGGTTTTCTGTGATAGGTTCACAGCACCACGGGTTAAATATGGGACACTGCATACATCCTGGCACTTGTCCTAGCCCTCAAAGTCTCATCTGCATTAAAAATATGTGCTGGTCTGAAGAGCTGTGTGGAAGTAGAGCTGCAGGAAGCAATGAGCTTCAGGCTCAGCTCTACCTATACCAGGCATTTATCTCTTCTTAAAAATCTCCATCAGTGGAGATTTTTCTCTCTCCTCTCAGCACATCCTTAAAACTGGAAGCATTTGTCCTCGTGTCAAAGCCAAATCTTTCACTGTGGGTTAGGTGCTTTGTCCAACAGGCAGAGTTTTTTGTGCTGTTCTTGTGAATGGGGAAATGTATTTCTGTTTGTCCTCAGCTGACACATGTCAGTTGGTGCTGGTGAGCTGGTCATCATTTCTGGGACAGCTCAAGATTTCTATCCAGTCTGTGCAAGCACCCAGAGTTTGATGATGGGGTGAAGTTTTTGGATCAATAAAATGGTGAATATGGCTCCCATTTGAAATAGTTAAACCTTTATTATTCCTAATGCTTGTTGGTTAGATAATGTGGTAATTAAAGAAAACAAATTGCTGCTGCTGAGATCAGTAAAATGAGTCATCAACATAGAGCCAAATGCTGGAGATGAAGGTTCACTGCCTTAAGTAACCCATGCCTTGCCTTGAGGGTAAGCCCTCAGCTGACACCCATCTCTGTGCTCTCTCAGGGTCAGCTATAAAACCTGCAACCTCTCTGGTCCTTGCAAGGGAGAATGGAGAAGGAGATGAGGAATTTATCCTATCCAAAAAGGAAAAATTAGAGGCTGAACCTTTCCAGGCAGGAGTTGCTAATCTGTAATGCATGGGTTCCAGCTGTGAGTAGGTATGGGATTGGAAGCAGGACAAGGTGGGCTGTTGTCTGTGTGCAGGTTGTACCTGCTGACCTTGCTGGCCAGGAACCCCACACGATCTGTGCAAAGGACAGCCCTGAAACTATGGGATGGAGAAAATGCTCTTCTGCTGGGGAGCTTGTAGAAATGTTCCTCCGTACCAAAGGTTGTTCCCAGGCACATGAAACAGGACAAAGCTCTGAAAGTCTGCCTTCTGAAACAATTCCTTGGCATTGGAAGTTTTTGAGTGGCATTTGTTGGCACTCATGCTAGGAGAAGTGGTGTTGTCCATGGTTTGCTACCTACAACCACAGCTGACCCTCTGGATGACAGGGGTAGGATGACCAGGATAGGAAGCACTGCTTTTAATCATCTCTTTTCTTTCAGGACTCCCCTAATGATGGCTTGCACCAGGCAGAACCTGGAGGTGATCAAAGAGCTCGTGGAGCACGGAGCCAACCCGCTGCTGAAGAACAAGGATGGGTGGAACTGCTTCCATATTGCAAGCAGGGAGGGCCATCTCCAGGTCCTCCAGTACCTGTTGGCTGTGTCCCCGAGCAGCTGGGACACAGAGAGCACCATCAGGAGAACACCACTGCACACAGCAGGTCAGGAGAGTCCTGTCCCCAGTGCTAATGAGGTTGGAGGGTCCTCAGTTCCCATTGCACTGAATTTTATCTGTGTGCTTATCCCAATTTGGTTCATAGTCTCACCGGTTTTTGTAAGGGATGCATCTCTCAAACCAATCCATCCTTGTCCAGATGCTCCGTGGATCAAGCCTTTGTGGTAAATCTGAAGAGCAGTAGGGTTGGTAGGCTCAGCACCCAGTAGAATTGCATTGCAGGTTTTGTTATTTTTGTGCTCTTCTTAAGAAGGAAGGTAGCATTGAGTGGGCAGAAATACAGACTGCTTTCTGCATAGGTACTCTGTGCTGGGAGAACACTGAGGCTGAGTCTGCTGTGCCCAATTCCCTCTTTAAACCCTTTTCTGTGGCTTAAAAGGGAGATATATGGGACCTTTAAAGGGGATGACCTGGTCTAAAGAACTTCAGACATTATCTGTAGGCATGGTAGGAGGCAGAAAGACACAGTTATCTGAATGGCAACCCAGAGGCAGTTTGTGTTTGGTTTCTGGCTTTTGAACTTTCCTTCCATCGTTGTTAAGAACTGGATGCCTAACTGATGAATGCCACACAGTGTACCTCAGTTAAGTCCTTCAGGCTTTAATAAGTTGGATGGCCTCAAAATCTGTTAATTCAGAATTAAGTTTGTCCTTCTACATCTTGTTTTGCTTGCAGAGTAGCAGGTCTGCTTACCCACAGACATGTGCAAGGTCAGCCATACAGATAACACTTGTGTTTCCAGGGCAGAAATCCCATTAACTCTGCCCTCCAGAGATGCAGTGGGATGATGAAGGGGGTCAGGGAAGGGAAAGATGTATGACAGCACTTTGGAATGATGGTGTGGGGCAGCCTTGGGGCTGCAGGATGATGGCTTACCTGAAACTGAAATGTGCTGTGTTCCTGAGTGGGGATTTGGCTTTGTTTCCTGGGGCTCATCCATGCCACCGTGGAAGATCTGAGCATGGGGAGCCACTGCTTAAAGCCACAGCTGCCTAAATTAATTTCCCAAAGACTGTAATAGGGATTGACTCTCCGGAAAGACCCGAGGTATAGGGAGGAGTCCTCTGCTGTGCTGTAATTAATCTGTTGGGTATATCACCCTTTTGGCTGTCATTCTTATCACTTCTTCAGCCTTCAGCAGTCGCCTGTCCACCACGCTGTGCTCATCAGCAGTGACAGTCCCAGCCTACAGGCACTGACTGCTCCGTAGTCCTTGGGCTTGACCTAAGAGTGAAAAATAGCTGATGTGCTGTTTGATGCTTCATGCTGAGTGGTGAGGAGCAGCTTGCGTGAGTGAGAAATGGGTAATCCTTGCTTATCTGTGTGTTCTACTGTCCCTGTGTAATCCCAAGTCTTCTGCCCTCGTGCCTGCATCAGTTGGCTGGGCTCACAGCCCCTCTCAGCCTTTAGATGGATGTCCAGAATATGGGGATGGAGCAATGGGTATAATATAGGTGAGGAATTTCCTGCAGAACACCTTGAACTTGAAGTATCTTTTCCTGCCTCATAACACTTGGGATATGGGGCTACAGGCAGCAGCAGTGTGCTCTACCTCGAGTTATCTCTACCCCACCATGTTTGACTTTCCCCATGGCAAAGCCTTCAACACGTTTTGTGTTGATTTCCAGTCATTATAACTGATATATCCACTTCAGACTGAGCCACAGTGGAGCAGCAGCTGCTGCAGAAGCAATGGGGCAGCAGGAAAGCCTGGAGCTGTTAAACCACCTTTGCCCCCAGCATCACTTTGACTCAGGAGCATGCTGGAGGCTGCTGCTCATTGCATGCACTGCTCAGTGCTGGTGCCAGCATGCAGACACAGCTCCCAAGGCACGGGCGAGGGGCCAGAGGCGATGCTGGAGCTGCTGGGGGAAATCATGTCAGATGAGCTGCCTTCTCCATGAGTTTACATCCTTGGGTGTGGATATGAGCTCGTTAACCCGTGACCAGGCCAGCTGCCTTCCTGGCACCATTATCCCTGGGTAGATGGTGGGTAATATTCTCCCCTTGCCATTTATTTTTTTTTTTTTAGGCTGATTCTTCAAGCATTGCTTCTTCATATATCCATAGCCTGAGGCAAGAGGAGGGGGGAGATGTAATTAGAGGAAGTGGAGTGCTACAGCAGATCCAAGCACAGCAGCTTTCTCGTGTCTCTGTTGCTGTTCAAGGATATAACTGTGTTGCTTGGGTGGCTTTTTCTTTTTTCAGACAGCTTGGTGTGTTTCAAAAAAATCTTTTTCACAGCTTGATTCTGCCTGAATTTACATCAGCCCAGGTGAAGGGCTGCTGTGTGGGAAGGGAGCAGGAAAACACAGCCAACGTCAGGGAGGGTGGGAGTGCTGGTTGGGCTTTCAAAGAGCAGCTATTGTGCAGCCACATCTGAAGGTTATTGCTGTTAACACATTCACTGGGGGCTGCTCTTCTATGGCATGGATAAACAGCCTGATGTCGCAGCCCTGAGCTTGGCTTGACCATTTATTCTTTATTTCATTTGTTTTGCACAACGACCTGCCAGAATACAAAAACCCACACGTACACCCAGACAAAAATAAAGCCTGATTAAGGCTGTCTGTACATTGCTGTAATATGAAGTTTATTTAAAAAAAAAAAAAAAAGAGACTATTTCAGTGTGTGATGTTTGCATCCTCCCCCACTGCTGCTCTGTTTTGCCTCGGAGATGCTGTCTAGGCGAGGATGCTTCATTAAGATGATGAAATGGGAGGGATGGTCGGTCTGAGTGGCTGAGGAAGGGTGCAAATGCCATCCAGCTCTTCACCATCTCTTTGTGTTGGTTTTGCATCTCATAGATTTCACTTCAGGGATTAAGGAATACCGGGCAGGAGAAGATCTTTGTGTCAGCTTAATTGTGTGTACTCTCTCACGCGTGCAGTCTGCAAGTAGAAGCAAACGGGGCTGATATGCATACTTTTCCCCTGTTTTACTATAGGATCAGCAGAAGAGAAGGTTTGAGACCCAGAGGCAATGTTTTAATTACAAAAATAAAAGCAGAAGCTTTGAATACGAAGCCTCTCAGACCTCCTCCCTGCCTCATGAATAAGCCAAAAGGGTCCGAAACCTGATTATGTTTCACCGTAGGCGGACGGCGACATGGAAACATAAATTACCCTTTGCTTCCTCTCTCTCTCTCACAGCAATGCATGGCTGTTTTGATGCTGTGGAGCTGCTCCTGGAGCGGTAAGCAAGCTTCCTCCCAGTGCTACATCTCCTCTCTCCCCCTCCTCCATCCAGCCACCAGCACACAAAGGGCGTTTATTCCATCCGGGAAGCTCAGCTGCACAGCTGCTCTGCATGCGATCCCGAGGCTGTCTCCGTTTCTTCCTGGCTTTTCACGGCTGGTGTTGGGCCTTGCAGGCAAACAGCAGCTTTGGATGGGCTCAGATGGCCTCAGACCTCGCTGTGACATAAGCCCTGGTTATATAACTCGGCTCTTCCTCTGTGCTGATTCATTCCTGTTGCCTCCAGTGTGGCCATATGATAACAAGGAAAGAGTTTTCTGCCCAGCTTGGTCTTTGTGCATCTCCTCCAGGCTTTATTTCCAGGCTTCAGCTCCTGGGAGACTGCTGTGAAGTGGCTTTAAATCAGCCTGTGCCCAGTCATCCTGATCCTGTTGCCTTCCTAAATAGTACTGCCTGCTGCAAGAGCTGGAGCAGCTTTCCCCAGGCATTGCAGCCACTGCAACCGTTAGCCTTACTCATCCCAGCCTTGTTAATTCATGTTCATGCTTTGCCCAGCATAAATGCAGCCCTGTGATTTGAGCCAGGCTTTCAATTTTAATTCACTCTTCTCTCATTTCAGCAGAGCTTTAGCCTCGTTGAGACCTGTGGGCATTGATTTTGTACATGGCATTGTTGTGTGAAGCTAAGATTTCCTCCTCTGCAAGGTCTGGGTGCACCTTAGTCCTTCCAGCTTCATCTCTTTGAGGAGCAGGGGAAGTGAAAATATCTGTAGAGCCTGAATGAGCTGCACTGGCTGAGTACCACATCTCTGACCCTAAAATCCCTAGCTGGCCTGCATCTCAGATTGTAGTTTGCATGGTGTGCAGATGAGCTCTGTATATCTTCTCATTTATCCACTGATGATCTGCTGCCCCACCAGTGCAAAGCAACTGAGACGGTGAGAATTTTGCACCTGCCACCAACTCTGTCCTGGCTTTTGCCTTCTCTCTCAGGTGCCAGTACAAACCTGACAGCAGGGACAATTGTGGAGTCACACCCTTTATGGATGCTATCCAGAACGGGCATGTCAACATTGCTCGACTGCTCCTGGAAAAACACCAGGTAAGTGCCAAGAACTTCTGCTCCATTGTCCAGTGACCTGAGCTAAAGCTGTCAGGACAGGTGATCAGTTTGTAACCAGACTGTAACAAGGCAATTCAGGCAAACTTCCCGTGGAAATGAATGAGATTTTGCCAGCAGGAGTGGGCTCGTGTAGGAAACCTCATCCTGGGACTGGGAAATGTCCCCTGGCTGATGAAGGGGGATGGAGGGACAGTGGCAGGGAAGGACAGGACTTGCCCTCTGCTGCAGGGACAGCAGTGTTAAAGCTAGAACTGACTCTTGGGAGTGCCAGGGCTCAGTATGAAGGCTCCTCTGGCCACACTGAGGGTGAATAAACCAAAGGCACATTGCTGAACCAGCAGCAGCTCGGCTCTGACCTCCCTCTCTTGAGACAGCTGCTGCTCCCATCTTTGTCTCCCAGTAATCTCCTATTTCCTCCGGCACACAAGGCATAATAGGGATGTCATTAGAGCCAATTGTGCATGGTAGGAACCAGACCACTGCATTATTTATTGAGTGCTGAGATAATGTGAGATGGTTGGAGACCACCTAATGGCTGATTGTCACGGAGGTGGAGCTGTTCCTCTCTTCTCACCCCTTCTGCTATTTCATTGCTTTTCTTCTGCACCAATTCCAAGGCTTGGACTCTGCAAATTGCTGGCCTGGCAGAAAGCTGGCATAGTACAAACAGTGAACCTGCCTGTGCCACACTGAATTGGCCAGCTGAGCTGCCAACATGGCATAGGATGGGCCAGAAGCACATAAAGAGAATGTGGGACCCCAATTCTCTAGCTGCATGCAGCAGGACAGGCCTGCAGAGACAGTTTGGTACTCTAAATATGTTCAAGTGCTTGTTAACTTCAGGAGATGTTCCTGCTCTTGTGTTTGTGTATCAAACAGTATGAAACGTTTGCTAATATTATTTTTCAGTCTCACACTTCAGACGATGAGGATGGAATTGTTGATTTCATTTCCTCGTTCTGGTGCCCTGGCTTACAGCCATGAAACCAGCACTGGACACATTAATGGCAGTACTAAATGGTAGTAAGACTTCCTAGGTCAGACCATGAGACTGCAAGAGGATGTGTTATATCCTTTTAGACAAGTATGCTGTGGATTCTCCCTATTACCCATCTTGGTTTTGTGTCTTTGTGGTTGCATTCAGAGACTCACAGAAGAAATTTCTTGAAGTCTTCCATCCATCTCTCTCCCTTGAACCTACATCCAAATTCTTCTCCTCTGCTGCAGAGGCTGGAGATGGGTTGTTTCTCGCTGCTTTGGCTTGGTTCTTCTATTTTGACACTACTCTTGCTTGTCTCTTAAGCTCAGCAGAGAGCTGGCTCTGGTCTGCAAAAGTGCTACCAAACCTGGTGTCACTTGGTGGCATCTCCTGTGATCACTGTTGCCGCTGCGGCTGTGGCAGGCAGACTCTGCTTGTCCTTCAAAGTTTGGCCAAGCTGTTCATTGCTTTCCTTTTCCGCCCTTCCCTTTGTTTCAGGCTTGTCCCACAGCTGTGGATGCTCTGGGTGCTCAGCCTCTGCATCGGGCAGCAGTCACAGCACAGGATGGAGCCATCCAATTCCTTGTCTCTGAGCTGCGTGTCGATGTCAATGGGAGAGCAACAGCTCTACAGCTGACAGCACTGCACTATGCAGCCAAGGTTTGTCCTTATCCCTCTGTTTCCTCTGTAAAGCCTTTGACAGTTGGTGCACTACCATCAGGCATCTAAAAGCTTAGGTGTTTGCCACTGATGAAGGATTTACATCCCTAGCTCATCCTCTGTCCTTGTCTGTTTGTTCCTGGCCAACCCCGTACCCTACTCAGTGTTTTTCAGACCCTTATCAAGTGTGACCAGCTGTCTGTACGGTGGTGGATGTCTGACTTGCTTTGTTCACCACAAATCCTGACAGTATCTGACTGTGCTGAGGGTGGGTGAACCCCCCTGCATGGAACGTGGCTGAGTGGCACTGAGTGAGAGCAGAGGTGGGTGGCAATAGGGCAGTTGCCTTTACCACTCATACAGCTGGTCATGCTGTGGGTAAGACTCAACTCACATCTCTGGAGGGAATCATTCTTCCAATCTGTCACCTTTGGACCAAAATGTAGTGTCTGGAGGGAGTCCACTCTGCTGGTTAATGAGAGCTGTGGATGTGAACAGTTCATGAGAGGTGATGATTCTTCACCAGCTTCATCTCTCACCTGACAGGATAGGATTGGTGGACACTGCTCAGATTTCTTTCTCTTCTTTCTTCAGTCTCGCTGGTTTGGACCCTGGTGGATTAGAAGCTGGTTTCCACGCCAGCAGCTTGCTGAACAGAAAAAGCCTCATGTGCTATGAGACACTGTTTGACCCTGGAGGTCGGATTCTGGCCTTCCTGTAGCCAGCCATGGGAAAAGAGATGTAGAAAGGTGGAGGGAGCTCCCAGTGCTTATCAGTGTCCTTCATACAACAGTTGTTTGGAATTCCAGTCAGAGTTGTTTGAGCTTTCTCCTCCTCTTGTCTCATGCCTGTGAAGAGTAAGGCTGTGGGTTCTGCAACGCTCCCTGGGCATGCAGAGCAGATCCCCAAAGCCTCCCTGCTGACCAGGATTCCCCTTGAGGGCCTGCTGTCTCACTTCTGCTTTATGCTGCTGGCTGCCTGTGCTCCAAAGGAAACATCCCTGCTCAGAGCCCAGCGTGTCAAACTTCATGAGCTCAGAGTCTTGTAATGGGAATGGAGCAGCATCCCCATGCAAAAGCATCAATGACACTCACTGAGAGTGCTGGCAACAGCATTCTCCTCCAGCAGGACCCAGCCGTGGCATTTGCTGGCTCCCACAAAGGAAGCTTTTCTCCCATGCTCTAAGAAACCATGTTGAAAGCCCTTTTGGTTGCCAAGGGTACGTTGAACAGCAAAGCCATTGGGGAAAACAATGTGCCTTGGAGAAGATCCCAGCTCTGTCTTGGCGAGTGGCTGATTGGGGAGCAATTTGATGGGCTTCTCATCCTTCCCGAGGCTCAGTGTCACTTTATATTTACAGCATCATTTGTTTTGGTGTTTGGGTTTTTTTTTTTTTTGTTGTTTGTTTGTTTTCTTTATTATTTTGCATTTATGAATACATGAAAATCAAATTATGCTTTCAACTCAATTTGCTGCCGAGGCTCTGGCAGCGAAAGCAGTTCCTGGCTTTGCTGTTCTTTGCCACTGAGGGGGCCTGTGCATGCAGCAGGGCAGTGGGAATGTGATGCTACTGAGTTGTATGATAATGGGGGAAAGAGTGGGTGGTAGGGATAAAAATAAGGGCCTTCCACTCTCATGCCACATTACAAAGGCTAATTCATTGCAGGGAAGAAGGAAATACAATTATTTAGGGAGAGAGGATTTATTTCAGGCCAAGCTTGTGCAGGCAGGAGGGGTGTGAGGGCTGCATTGCATTTCCCCCTGCAGCATTTACATTTGGCTGCTGGCAGAGGCATTGTAGAGAGCACCATGGGTTGTGCTGGTGTTTGAGTGTGGTGTTGTTCATCTCCCAAGGCATTACAAATGCTGGAGCAATCCTTGAGGAAGTGTGGATGTCTGAAGGTACTGCAGATAGAAGCACAGCAGGGCACGTCAGCAGCAGGTTCTTCTCTCTGAGCCGAGATGCACCTCAAGAAGAGCAGCTGTAGATCAGCTGTAGATCTCCATAATACTTGCAGTAAATTTACAGCATGGGACAACAGCAGTTCTATGGTGACATTGTCCTTTTAATAAGCAGCCAGCTGTCCTTTATTAAAGGTAAGTCAGGGATCCTAGGGCTCTGTGACTAGCAGGAGTTAAAAGCATTTTAATTGAGTTACTGGATGGGAGGAGAGGAAAAGGCAGGATCTGTTGACAAATCAGTGCACTAATTTGCTATTAAGAAACGTCTTTAGGTCTTTTCACCCAGTGCTAAGTCAGAGGTCATTTGTGCATTAACTCCTTTGTAGCCATCAGCAAAAGCAAAACTGCTCTGGGAGATGGTCCTCCTCTGAGTCTTTAGCTGTAACACCACCACCAGAGGCATCCCTGCACGGTAGCATCAACTTAAATACTTGCATTGCTTTTAATTTGAAATTGTGAGGAAAAAATTGCAGATTATGCTCCTGGGATGCTTCTTGCTTGCTTCTTCTGGGCCTCTGGGTCAAAATTGCTGGCAAGGGCTTCGCAGGAAGGCTGAGCAAAGGCTGAGCTGAGAGTCCTGTAGCAGCAATGTGGCCATGCGTGTGGGCAGTCCCTGGCTAATGGAATGGATCTGCACAGCTACGAGCATACAACAAAGATTTCCAGCTGCTCTAAGATCCTCTGGATCTTGTAACAGCTCCTGGTGGTGCCAGATTTGACCGTGGCAGATTCACTTTGCATCTGTGCCTTTCGCAGGTACCTGGAGATTGCCTGTGTGGCCTTCTTTCTTTTCAGGCCTGTGTCGTTTCTTCTAAATGCAAAGGAACTGTGCTGGTTTTGCTGAACAAATAACCCACGTGCCTGTGCTCACCACTGCAGGAAGGACACACGAGCACCATCCAGACGCTGCTGTCCCTGGGTGCCAACATCCATGCAAAGGATGGGAAGAACCGTTCTGGTAGGCATGCTGAGCTATGTGTTCACACACTGTGTTAGGAGCCTCTAAAGCAGCCCGTGCTGCATCTGCTCTTGCAAGGAGCTGCCAGGTGCATGGATGCAAAAGGCTCTTGGAGCAGCACAGCATATGAACCCTGTTCTTTTTTATAAAAAGATTTGTCAACTTTCATTTAGTAGCTCTCTTCTTGCTGGACTTTCTGATGTCTACTTGTGTTTTGGAGCCTGTGCTGGGGCTTTTCCCCTCTGTGGATGCACTCATTTGGCTTTCTTTTTACGCAGCTGCTTTATTTTGCATGAAGCTTTCAGGAGTTTTGGTACCCTTCATCAAGCATGGTTGAAATTAGGCAGCTCAAAACTCTTAAGGTGGGCAGACAGACATGATTGCACGATCTCTAAAGCCTTATCAAACTGCCTAGGAATGGCTTATGAGCAAATAGTAACAGAGAGCTTGAAAGTAAACAGAGTTGCTATAGTAGTACCAGTGAGAGTATGAGGCATCTCTTGCATCAGCATCTCTCTCAAAAAAGAGTATATAGAAATGGTTTCAACCACTGCTAAAATTGGCAACTTCCCCAGCCTTCAGGTTTGCTTAATGACACGCTTCAGTGGTGAGGTTGAACAGTCTTGCAACTCTCAGTCTCTCCCCTCACCCCCTCAATGAGTAAATTTGGGTTTTGCTGAGCTTGTCCGGCCCTGGGACCTTTGTGATGTTCTCCTCATACCCTGTTCTCTGCTGCGTTTGTGTCAGTGTATGCTGGGGTGTTTCCCACCCTAATCTGCTCCTGCAAAGTGTTCTACATGAATTATCCTGCTCCACAACAGCGGGAACTAATGACCCTCAGCATCAAAGATACTCACCCTATGCAGGTTTAGATCAGGAGGATAAGGCTGGCCCATGCTATAACAGGACTATAGGGCTGCCTAACTGTGCTGGAGCTGAACTGACTCAGCCTGGAAGGCTCATTGGGATAAGCAGACTGTGAGCAGTGCTGTTCCAGCCTCCTCCTATGGGATGCTCTTTGCTGTATGCAGTACAGGGAAACCTTTCTGATTTACTCCTCAGCCCTGGAATGAACTGGCAGGATGCCCGAGCCCATAACGGACCCAGGTCACATCCAGCATCTTTTCAAGCCACTTTCTCATGCATCACTGTTAAATCCACCCCAAATACAGAGCAGTAAGATGCCCACAGCTAACATGAGCCCATGGGCCTTCTGCTCTGCTGCACAGCCTTTCTCTCCTGACATCAGCACCCTTTTCCCGTGACTCAAAATGATCCAAGTTGGCTTAAATCCTCCCAGTCTGTTTGCAAACCTGTTTTGCTTTGGCTCAGCCAGCTTAGTATCACTTGATGGGTTGGAGGGACAGCCTGAAAGGAGGAGGTGGGCAGGTCATAGCATTTCTACCAGCATGGCTGGGCTTGAAAATAGAAGTATCCCATGCATTTGTGGGTTCAACCATCCCACTGGGAAGGCTGTGGCAGCTGAGCCATTGTACAGCTGCTTGGTTGAAGTTATCTTTTGGTGCATTTCCTCTGATAATTCGGTTTCCTTCACTGAGGATCCAGCATTTGCTTCTGAAGTGGGCTGAAGCCGAAGCCAGCATGCAGTCTCAGTTCCTTTTTGACATCCTGTCTCTCCCACAGCCCTGCACGCAGCGTGTTCTGGGCAGCATGCAGCTGCTGCACAGATCCTGCTCAGCACAGGGCTGCAGGACAATGAGGACAGCACGGGCACCCTGGCACAGCAGCTTGCAAGGAAACCAGATGTCATCCAGGTTTTCCAAAAAACAAGTGTCAACTCATGAGGCCAGCTGGGAAAAAGAGAAACCCACTTCATTTTGGCTTGGTATGTTTGTAATTGTTTAATGAGTGTTTGCATTCATGTTTAACACAGTGGATTTTTGCTCAGAGACTCAGCAGAGGAATCAAACTTAGCACTTGGAAAATGAATTAAGGGGAAAGCATGTTGTGAATACAGTTATTTCAATAAGAGAATGCATATGTTGGGTGTGGGCTGTTGTGCTCCTGTTCTGACCCCATCTTTATAAGTTCACAGATGCTCTTCTTTCACTTCCAAATTTCAGGGCTGAGCTACACCTCTTCCTATGCAGCAGCAAACGCATCCCAACAGCTGCAGCTTCCCAAAGGAAAACCATCAGAGGAAGGTGCCTCGTGGGCTGCTGCAAGATGATCTCTGGGCACCTGCAGGGCTTGAACCCATTGGAGCCTGCCCAGCTCTCAGTGCAGCCTGACATCCTGAAGGAGAAGAAACCTGCATCATTTTTACAGCCCTTCATGTAGCTGCTCTCCGCAAATCTGTTAAGCTGCTGTGTTTAAAAGCCCCTGAGAAAACATGGTGCAGCAAAGCTGAGCTCTGAGTGCCTCCCTTCGTCAGGGCTAAGCTGCTGTGTGGATGAGTGCAGGGAGACTTCAAGCTGCATCAGCCTTGTACGTGGCCCAAGCTTGATCCCAAAGCCTGCTGACATCAACAGAAAGACCTAAGCCTTGTGGGGATCAGAGTGAAAAAGAATTATTAGTTATTCCAGATGTGCCAAGCAAGGCTTTCTCACCAGCAGTGAAAAAAACTGCTCCTTGAAGTGCTAGGGGCAGTGGTTTGATATGTAATGTAGCCACTAAGTCTGGAATGTACATAAAGGTAAGAGCAACTAGAGTTGTTTAGTTTCTTTGTATCTGTATGGAACAAGAAGCTTTGCCAACCACAGTCCTACCTGTAATGTCAAGTTGTAGCAAACAATGCTATTCCCCAGTTTAGTTGACAGCAGATGGTGAAAAGGAGAGGCCTGTGAGCAGGCTGGGTTTTGCTCTGCCCCAAGCCCTGGTGCTTACATCATGGCTTGACACTCAGCTCCTGTTTTCCCAGGAGGATTTAAGATGATGCTGAGCTCTGTTTGAGCGAGAAAATCCCCACTCTGCATTCCCTGGAACAGAATTTGCTGTGATGATACTGAGCTGGGTAACAGCACTGTGCTCCTCGGGGACCTTTTAAATTGGAGCACAAGTTGGGGTGCTTTTAAGGACCAGAATGGACCTTCTGTTAGCAGAGGTTTTTAACCACACCTTTCTTTCTCCATCTGTGACATGAAAGAGATTCTTTGTCACCGAGGAGGATAAGAAATGAGTGCTGGAAGGTTCTAACAGTGCAGTGGAAGCTGTGCCAGCCCCTTACCAAGTGGGTTTGTTCCTCTAAAGATCCTCAGTGCTTCTAGAAATCTGCCCTTCATGAAATAGTAATTCTGCAGCCTGTAACTGCTTCATTCCCATTTTCTGTGATGTTAGCAAGCCACGAAATAGCTATTTTCCCCTAATGTTCCTCCTAATGAGCTCAGCTTGCTCGTGAATCTGAGCTTTTATGAGAAAGCAAATGAGAATATTTTTGTCTGCCTTTCATGGCTCCCAGGGCCGTGGCAAACACCTGGAAATTAGAAAAGGGAGCTTGAGTTGTCTTGCATTATTTGTGAGGTGCTTTACACTTCTGGAAGCGCACCTGTGCACCATTGCATGGCTGTGTGTGTGCCCATTGCACTGGTGCACACTGGGTGCCTGCCTGTTGCAGTGTGCATCAATGCAATGCACCCATGCATGCGTGCAGGCAACCATTGCATTAACGCACATGTGCACATTGGGTGCCTGCCTTTGTGCACTGCACTCATGCACGTTGCCCATAGGCAGGCATCCATTGCACCGATGCACACGTGGGCATTGCACTTATGCAAGCACCTCTTGCACCGATGCCTATTTTCACATTGCAGCTGAGCAGGAACCAATTGCACCAATGCACATTGCATGCGTGCAGGCACCCAGGGCACTGATGCACACATGCAGCACCCATTGGCACACATCGCTGTGCACACAGCCGTGCGTTGCATGCAGCCGTGCACCAGCAGCACGCGCGTGCACGCGCCCCTCGCACCAAACCCCGCAGCGATGCGCGCGCCGCCCACGTGACCCCTCCTCCCGCGCTGCGACGAGCGGGAGGGAAAGCGGAGGTTGCGGTTGGAAGGGGGGGGGAGGGAAAGGATGCAGCGCGCATGCGCGCCGCGCCCCCACCACGGTGGCACGGCCGTCGTCGTCACGGCGCAGCGCCCGCCCCTTAGCGATGGCGCGCTCAGCCAATGGCGTGGCGGCGCGGCGATGAGTGAGAGCCGAGGGGGTGGGGCGGGGCGCGCGAAGCCACGCCCTCCTCCCCCCTCCCTCGGCGCGCTCTCCTCACGGCGGCGGCTCCATTTTCTCCGCTCCCGCGGCCCCTCAACGTCCGGTTCGCCTCAACCTTCGGCCGGCGGAGAGACCCCGTGAGAAACCTTTCCCTTTTCCCTTTCCTCCTCCTCTGCCGTCGCCATGAATGAGGAGTACGACGTGATCGTGCTGGGCACCGGCTTGACGGTGAGGAGGAACCGCCCCGCTCGGGCCTGGGCCCTGAGCCGCCGCCCTGCCGGCCCCGCTCCCTCACAGCCCCCTCCCTCACACAGCCGCGCTCATTCCTCCCTTGTCCCCCCGTTATCGCCTTGGCTGCTTCACCATTCCTTTCCTCAGGCTCCTGTTGTCCACCTTCCCCCCCCCCACACACACACACCCATTTCACCTCATTCTCTCCCCCATCCCCACTGCATATTGTGTTCTTCATCCTCATTCTATGAGAATCCCTCATCCCTCCTCCCTCTAAATTGGGTCTGCCCACCCTGTCCCTATAGCACTGCTGTGTCCCCCCATAGACCCCTATAATCCCAACCCCTTCCCCATAGCATTGCTGTGTACCCCTGTAACCCTTCCCCATAACACTGTTCTGTACGCCCATAGCCCCCCATAATCCCAACCCTTTCCCCATAGCACTGCTGTGTACACTCTTAGGCCCCCTGCTATAATCTCAACCCCTTCCCCATAACACTGCTCTGTATTCCTTAATCCCACCTCTTTCCCCATAGTATTGCTGCCTTCTCCCTATAACCCTCTTAATCCCACCCCCTTCCCCATAGCACTGCTGTCTTCCCCATAGCCCTCTTAATCCCATCCCCTTCCCCATAGCACTGCTGCATTTCCTCATAGCCCCCTTCCATAATCCCAGCCCCTTCCCCATTGTACGACTGCCTTCCCCCATAGCCCTCCTATAATCCCACCCCCCTTCCCCACAGCACTGCTGTGTACCCCCATAGCCCTTCATACCCTTTTTGGTAGGGGGGAGTCGTTCCCTATTCTCTGCCCCCCAGAAAATGCGGTTACTTAAGGAGAGATGGGGACAACAAAGCGCTAAGGGGCTGAATTGCATTCTTGTATTATTATTATTGTTATTATTATTACTGTGAACCATCCAGAGCTCTGAGCCCATCTTAGGGTGGAGGCAGCCCCGCGCGCTGCTCCGCCTTTGCAGCCTTCAGCTCTCCATCCTGACTGCAGCAGGAGGGGGAGGGGGGGGGATGGGGATGCGGGTGAGCCCTGCACGCCTGTCAAATCCCTCTGCTTTCGTTATTTCTTTAATTTTTCCCCCCTGCTCCGAATCTGTCCCACCTTTTGCTGCTGTTAACCCTTCCTGACAGCACTCGGGGTGAGGTGGGGGGAAGGG